GATCCATTGATGTGTTTCGGTAAACATTGCACAGCCTTACGCTTTCGCACATACAATGCCGACAATCCCCGTGCACGAAGACGTAACACTGGCAGTGCCAATTACAGATACGACTATGGTGACAAGAACGCTTGCAGGCAGCATACTGACAGTCCCCGCCAAAAGTACCAATAGACCTTGGTAGATATTCCTGTTTCGTTCCGTCCTGGTACCCGGCTGTCATCTGTGGCTTCACGAAGCCCTGCTCAGCGCGGCGGTCACACCCCGATAACTGTCCTTGGCCGATGGGTTAAACCAAATGTGAGCGTTTGGCGTGCTTGCGTGTCTCCACAACTGGTGATCTACGGACAATTCCCGAAACTCCCTCCCCACCCCAGGGAAAAATTCATACGGAGAGGGCGATATGCAATCCTGTAGGTGGTCCAGGCCAACTCGGGTCAAATTTCCCCTAGACAAAGTCGTGACGCATTATGGAATTCAGTAGTCGCCGGGGGTGGCTAAAAATTCCTGTTCGAGGGTGGCACTTCTTATAACCTTGCAAGGGAGGGGGCTAGAAGGGATGCTTTAGAATTGCTGGTAAAACATGTCATCGGCAAGCTGACCGTGGCTTATGGACGCAAAAACTGCAGCAACAACCACCACACCAAATTTCCGTGTCCCTCCACAGACTGCCAGGGCGAGCAGTGTTACGGGAAATGTGGAGTATTCGTTCCCTTTTAGACAATCCATCAGCGAACCGCCTGAAAGGCAGGATGTTTCTGGTTGCCCACGAACTGACCCACTGCAGAGTGAAACCCGCCTCTCTAAACAGGGTCAACTAGACGAGGCGGGTGTAGGACACACTTTCTTCTGGAGCGGAAATCCAAGAGCAGAGTGACAAGAAAACGGAGTCACCTTCGACACCAAAAACGACGTCGGGAGATGGCAGTCTCGCCTCTCAGGGGACGCCAATGATTACGAGGAGCCACTACGTGGGAACGAACTTGCTGCCATTTCCAGCTCCTGTGTTCTCTCTGTGACCCACTCTGGTGACGTGAAGAACAAGTTCTCGAAGACTTACACACCCTCCAAGCAACTGTGTCAAGGGTGGAAGCACTTTTTGCCCTTGGTGACCTAAATGACTTCGTCGGCGCAAACTATGATGACTGGGGAGGGGTGCTGGGGTAACAGCTGTGGCTTTCTCCTCCTATAGGCCCGCACGGAACGCTATCTCCTGCCGACCAGCACCTCTCCCCGTTTCCTGATTCGTGAGAAGGCGACGTGGATGCACCTCACTCGCGTTACTGCCATTCGCTGGACTACGTCCTAGTCCGTAAGCCTATACTGCGGGACGTGCTCGTGACCAAGACGATGCGCGGTGCTGACTGCTGGAGGGATCACCACTATGTCATCTTCAAGTTAAGATCCCAAATGCAACCGAAAAGAAAGTTAATATCAGGTACTTTAAATACAGTATAAGTTGATATGGCTGAATGCCCCACGTGACTTCAAGGTCACCATCGTTCATATGTACGAACGCAAGGGGAACCGGCAACTCCTCAATATCGCAGGAGAAACTCTCGCCCGTGTTCCACTTTCCTGAATGCGCGTCTGGGGCATAAAGTCTTCCAGCAACACAGTGCGGATTTTGAGAGCTTCGCGGTTCGCCAGGACATGGGAGCCAACCACTTTTGTCGCTCTGACGAAGGACTTTGACAATGTGAATCACAATGGACCCTTGGAAAATCACAAAAAATCCGGATGTGCTGAGAGATTTACTCAGATGGCAAGGCAACGTTCACAACGGGGCGATCTCTGGAGCATTTGCTGAGACCGGTGGGGCGGAGCAGGGCTACGTACTGGCCTCTAACCTATTCGGACTCATGTTCTCCGCCACGCTGATGGGCGCTTACCGTGAGGAACAGCCGGCGATCGACACCAACCACGGAGCCGATGGAAGGATTTTCTACATTCGCCGTCTGAAAGCATCTTCAAAGGTATCGAAGGTCATCGTCCACGACCTACTGACCGTGGATGACTGCGCTCTCGACGCCACCTCCGAAGAGGACATGCAGAGGAGTGTGGGCCAATTCACCTTTGGTTGCTCCAACTTCGGCCTGATCATCAGCGAGGAGAAGAGGACGGTCCTGCACCAGTTGGCGACAAGTATTGACTACATCGAACTCTTTAACGATGTCAGTGGAACTCATAATTATAGCAGACGAGGAATTTGCATAACTTGGGAGTACTACTTCAAGAAACATCAAGATTGACGATGATCTATCTAAAGCCATTCAAGCCCACGGCCGACTCAGGAACATCGCAGCATCCTACTCAGCATAACATTGTGGATGCACAGGAAGACTTAGTCATTTCCACCTTATTTGCCTGAGAAGAACGACAGGTGAGATCTCAGGCACTGAGGTCCTGGGAAAAACTAGCGTCTCCAGCATCTACGCACTGCCGAGACCCGCCTCTCATCTCACAACACTGCATCGAAAATTCCACCGTCGCTGCCGACGATATCCACCCTGTACCTCAGGAGATTGGCTCCCGCCTAATCGTTTATTGTAATGGCCCATCCGACACCCGTTTGATACGGCATGGCGACCGCTCCCTCAAGAAAAACGAACCATACACCGTTTGCTTGAGAACCAGTTAGTTACCGGCTAGAAAGATTCCATAGCTGTGGCCTGCTCATTGTTCGCGGGAACCGCAGTAGGCCTACTTGACCGGACGACTTTAAATGTTACTGGTCGTCATGGTCTTGGTTCTTGATGCAACAAGGAGCAAAGCCAGCTGGTTGTCACCAACGCACAATCCCAGCATCGTACGTATCAGTATTCAGACCAGGATCACACGAAGAGCAAGATAACTTATATTCCAGTTAGTTGAAGGCTTCGTAGCTGCGTCCGTAATGGCAAGTCGAGGGTGATACCAAAGCTGGCATCGCCCTTGGGCGGGGTCAGGGCCTCGTTTACACATGCCTGGGAGTTTAACTTTCAGTAGCGGTCAAAGGGTTCCACAACGGTTGCCATTTCGCAAAAATACAACCCAACACAGCCGAGGCTTTGGGTACGTAAGTCCGATCTCGCTTAGCAGCCTGTGGGAATGTGGTAGCAACCGGTTCCCAGAAAAGTCATCGGTATGCGAGGCGGTTGAGAGAATCCTGGGATACACGGAGTCGCGCCGTAATGATTGCATTACATGAAGACCTCCGTCATCCGCCTAGGCAATTCAAGCTATGTCCAATCGCGACTGTGCATCCCATAAACACCGACAAATGGCAACAGTCGGCTAGGAGTGATCGAAAAAACGACTGGGCCGAAACAGCGAGTTCCACAGCGAGGACCTCGAGTGCCGGTGACAGCCGATGACTATCAAATCCCTCTTAGTTAATGATAAACCCCCGTTGTATTAAGTGAATGCCAACGACGTGAGTGGCGGTTTTAATGTCAGCAGATCGACCAATATCGGACGCTGCCGTGAGCACTTCGGACATCCTTCAACTTAGATGACCAACCTATCTGCCTTTATTTATATTGGAGTTCGTCCATCTACAGCCTACTCAGTATCGTATAACCTTCCTTCTCAGGAATAAATAATCGGTGCAGTGCTGAGGCCGTACAATAAGGCCTGTGAAGGATCCATCAGTGTAAGCACACCTTCTTGAAAGAAGTAGTTGACATTCACCAGTTCGTGAAAAGCATCTCAGATCACCCAAAGAAGACGACTGAAGTGGTTTGGGCGGTTTTTTCGTTGCTCGCCATACGGGTACAGTGTCACTGTCTCACTGGAAGCTGTGAAGAGGGATCAGATAAGAAACCAGCTTGGGAGGGCCTGTCAGGAGAGCTGGAGGCTGTTACCGGACCTTCGCATCTGAGCGAGAGCAGACAAATCTCCCGGACTCACTGTTCCTAGAGTGTGGGAAGGTAATATCCGCGACACCACTCAAGCCGGCCAGCTCAGGCACGGCCATAGCCACATATAATACGACCAAGCTTTGGTTCAATCGAGTGAACAGAGTACATTATGAAGGCGCTACCCTGGAATTACCGATGCGAATACATATACCAGACTGGAAGGGGTATCCAAATCAAATAAGTCAGAAGAGGCTGAGAGTGTAGACAAACGACACATTGTTCCCAGCGGCCGTCCAGATTCTTTAGGTCACCGTTTTGACTTGCGGAAACCAACGTAGTGGCAGGGCCCAGCGACAAGGCGCGTCGTGAGCTACCAAAACACGAAACTTTTCGATCTTACTACCAGACAACAAGAGGATGACACGCGATTACAAAGAATACCTATCTTTTGCTAATGGTTATTGAAGAAGTCCGAAAAATCGGGCAAATGAAAGCGGTTCCGACGTTAGACTTCTCTGCCCTATCTTCTAACTAGGTCCGATCACTCTAGATATAGTAGATGGCTGATCCAACCAATAAACTACTGTCGTGTAAAATTATGGGCATCAAAAGCAAGTGGTGCCAACTCCGCGTTACGACACGCACTGTCTAGTACGGCCTGCGACCGACGAAAGTGCAGAATACGAAGTAACCGACAGTTGCAAGCGCCAATATGGGACTTAAACCCGTGAGGAAAGATGCAAGTCATAATGATCGACGTGCAAGGCTGGAAACAGGTCGCCTAACTTCGGCTTGTTTCTGGCACAATTAAAGCATAGATTAGCTTTTGACTTCCACTCATCACGTTATGTGAAATTAGATACGTGAAGAGTAAACAGGCAAAGACTCCGATCTTAAGTCCTACCAATACAAGACAAACGGGTTTAAGGATCTGCTTCCAAAGTTGGCAAATTTGTGAATGTAATCGAAGAATGCCCCGTTGTGAACATATGGCTGGAGATCACCAGCCGCATTTTCGAAATATTGGTACTGAGCACATACTAAAAAAAAAATAGAATAAATGCGCATATTTACAGCAAATAAGCATATGTACATATCCTAAAAGAGGCTTCAGAGAATAACAATTAACAGGTTCGACCATATAAACCTCGCTCAACGATGTTTCCTTTTCTTCTTCCCAGTTGGGGTGGCAGAGTAAGTCTTTGAGTCCGACGTTTCAAGAAAATTCAATGTGGACAAATCCGTTTGCTCAGACTGTTCAAATGCCTGGTTATCCTCGTAAGCAGAATTCGAGGCAGGCGTGTTAGCTGTAAGTAATCAAATAATTATAAACGTCAACCAACCGAGCAAATACATACGGTTCTATCAAAACACCTCTCCCAATGCGTGCTTGGAAAAACATAGGCAGTGACCACACAACAGTCATTTCCTTAAGTTATTGACGATTCGACTTATTAAACGTCGTCTGTTTTTCCCACGCGAAAGAAGCGACAAGTATTACCTAGTTAATATTCATTCTTATGAAAATACAAAACTATGGCACGCCCTGGCTGGCTCTCCTGCGCGGGACACAGGATGTTAACTCATACGGGCATGCTGCCAAAATACTTGTTAGTGAGATGGCCGAGCCCACACTGTCCAGCGTGCGTCACCGAGAAACAAAGAGCCAGCGAAACCCATTTACACTCAATAAGACCGATGCCCGAAGATCGAGAGTATTTGAAGAAGAGGCACAGTAAATAGGGGATACATCGCGGGGTATCTCCGGTCAGTCCCTTTAATCGGTTTTACCGAATGATAGAAAATACCCGCGGCTCAGCTACTTGGATAGGAAAAGACGGGAAGGCGATCGCTGTGATTAATTGTTTATTTATCCGACGTTTCGAACTCTCACGCGAGCCCATCGTCAGGGAATGAAAGAATCTATACAACTTATATTTGGTTCATCTATGCCGGGGATGACCTCCAGCTGCGCCGCTGATTTGTTCATGCAATGCTTGATAAGTGACTGGCAGATCGATATGCCGATTGATCGGGTCCTCAATTGAGTGCCACGCTTACTGCTGCAGAGGCGAAACTCGGTCGTCCGACTGGCCCAATATTCTCATGCACTTAAAGCCGAAAGCGTGCCCTGGCGAGGAAGCGTGGGCGGACACTAAGGAGAGTTTATCTTTTCGTCTCACAGCCAACCCGTGTTCGTGCAATCTCGTGCGTACCTGTTTGCCGGTTTCACCAACATAATTGACTTTCTGTTGATTTGCCGTTGACTTTATGGCTGGTCTTGACTGTCTGGTGCGTTTTATAAGGCTGCGAGGGTAACCGTTAGAGGTGAACATCCGCTGTAGATAGTAGAGTTGGACTACTTTGTCGGCCGGTTCGCTGCAGTGAGTGTTAACTCTCTTGTAGAGAGATGGAATACAGCTTCGTTTGTGACACAGCGGGTGATTGATGTGGTAGAACAAGACTTGCCGAGTGCTAGTGGAGGGCAGCAGACTGTCCAGACCCACCATAAAGTCAACGGTAAATCAACCGAAAGTCTGGAGAGCGCTGCCACACATTCCGAGGCAGTTGTCCGTATCTTGCAGCCATTGGGTATCGGCATCGCCCACAAACCCGAAGCGACAATCAGAGGTCTGGTCATGAAACCAAAAACGCCTCTGCCACGAGGCGAAACAGCCAACATCTTCTATCAAATCCCGTATAATTCATGCGAAGCAAACTACGATGGAGAGACCGGGAAAAGACTGAAGGTCCGCATGGACGAGCACGCAAAAGCGGTACGAAGAATGGATCAGCTCTCGCTGGTGGCGAAACACTACGCAGCTTTTGGCCATGCATTCGCTTTCCAAGACGCTGAAGTCTTGGGCCAAGGGAGCGATCACACGGTCAGGGAGACGCTCGAAGCATGGCACACCACAACTACCCCAATTAACCGCTGCGTAACTTTGCTGACTGCTTACCACGCCCTACGGGTGAATTTCATTCAGCAGGGCTACCGACGAGGCGTCAGGCCAGAGACGGCAGCAGTCAAACCCAGACCAAGCGGGAACACGGACGAGTATAGACAGGCATCGGAAACAGACGAAAGCAGGGAACAACCGACGGCGAACGTAAACCTAGGAGACCACCTTCTGGGTCTGAACGCTGACAGACGCGAGCACTCGGCAAGAACGCATGACAGTGACATGACCCCCCATCCCGACGTTAACACTGGCATGACAACCACCGTTCACACGCTTACGGCCAGGTGTGAACGGGGCAGGAAGGCGAGATACGTGCAGGACGGACAACGAACAATGCAAACAAGAGCATTGGCCGCGGTCATCCCGACGCCACCCACCTCCCCACAAGGGATGAGGAGGTGCCGATGCCGCCATGACAACAATCGCCAAACCTTGTGATGCAGCGCGCCGGAACTTAGTGACACGCCAGCATGGAGGAAAACCCTTAAATATTGTTACGTGTCATACGCAACCCACCTCCGATTATGGAAGCTTGTCTGCTATCGAAACGCCAGGCCAATAAAAACCATGGCTCCTGGGATGGTTCGTGGAAGGAAGAATTTTGGGGATCAGATATGATGTCCTCGTCCGCGATTGTACATGACTGACACCATCGAATCCCTAAACATGAGATCTTAAACTGTCTCCATGGCCGCACACAACACCCAGACAAGCAATAAGCGAGCAGCCAAGAGAACAATTAGCAAAGTTGAGGTGCCAAAAACAAAAGACACCAACACAAAGTGATTAAAACACCGACTGGAAACAACTTACTCTTTTCCAAATCAAAATAACCATTCGTGATCTAAAAGTCAGGTAAGCACAATTACTTGCCAAACTTACAGCAGCAGAAGTCACTGAAGACCTCGAGAACAGTCTGTCTGTATCACGAAATTTACGGGAGCGCTTGTCGTTTTGCCCACGGCTGCTACCAAGCGGGCCATTCGCGGCGACGGCACCGAAAGCACTGCCCGAGGAAGAGGCTAAATAGCGGTCCCATCCTTTGATTATATTTCCATAGGGCGCAGTGTCGTCGAGATAGCTACCTTCAAATAAATATATCTGCCTTTCAAGTGTAGCTAGAGTTTCCTGGAACAATGACTTATCTAAAGGGCACATACTGTAAGCGACCTTTTCTGTCTCACAAGGTCAATAAGTTCGGCTTTAATGTCCGAAGCAGACGCTTTTTCATTCAAAACAGGCATACTTGTAGCCACAGCCTACACTCGACCTGCCTACGCACAGACGCAACCGAAAAACCAACAATGGTTGCAAGAAATGTAGAAGAACAACGAAGGCAGACCAGAGTAGCTGCTGACGGTGGCTTTTTATAGGATCCATAAAATCATTAATATTGTATTGTCTTTTTGACAACATGAGAGTTTATGTAACTCAGGCAAAATCCTGAATTAATTAATACCACTTACGTGACAGTCCGAACTGTGAAACGTCATACAGAACTTTCAGTTTGGTCCCTGGCTTCAGTCCCATGGATACTGAAAGTGAATCCTGCGGTGGTATAAGAAATTTTTGTGACTTTTCTCTTCGGTAAATGTCTTCTGTAAGAACTTTAACACAAAAAACAAAAACGTGAAAAAATGATCATGGAAGAGACAAATTATGGAAAAAGCACTTTCCTCAGAATATTTTTACGCAGAGGCACACGGAGCATTACAATACGCTAAAGAGGTTACGAATTCGCAAGTGCCTACGGACAACCTCACATCGTAAACGGGCAGAAAAGGCGATGAAACGGCGGGAAAGAGTGCACTTAGTGGAGGGAGAAAGAGAATGATTAGCTTCTCACTTCAGCCTTGTGCTGGGGCCAAAAATTAAGATCTAATTAGATACGATTGGTTGGCCAAAAGACCCCCTTACATCGCGGACGTAGTTTATGTACCCCTGTAGCGACCGAGCGAGTAGCGGACGTCAGGCCACGGACAGTGAAGGAAGGGGGTGAGGGAAGCTTGAACTCAGACGCTCCAGTCAATTGGAAAATTCAGTCTAAAAGGCCCTGTACTTCAGAATGTACGGTAGTGGGATGGACAGGCGTACGGGACATAATATAGACAACGAAAGTGGTAAAAAGATATAGGTTTATTCGGATATACAAAAATGGAAATCTAATAAACGAGGCAACGGAAGAACAAAAGAATACGATAGAACGACTTATCGGATGGGTTGACGGTTATTTGTCGACACACGGCTTCCGGAGCGTAGACTCTGCAATGCAAAACGAAAGATGAATCCAGTGCATTCAAACACTCAAGGTCGGGTCCCTGGTCAGATCTCCGACTGTTACACCCCTGAATACTAAAGGCCTTAAGGTCGCAGAGCTACAGAAGACACAACAGGAAATAAGGACCAGTGTACTGCCATCAGGCATTGAAAAATTTGTAACAAATGGGATGAGTTCCACGTCAGCCCGTGGCTGCGAGGAACATAATAGGCGAGTTAAACTTCTAGAAGAGAAGCAGAGCTTATTGACTGACACCCTTGTGGCTATTCTGGAGCACAGTAAAATAAAATCCCTCTCTAATGCCTCAACTTTCCGGCCGACAAGCAATGGATATCCTCTTAATTGTGAGCTCATATCCACAGCATGGTAGCACCTTTTGAAATAGCATGAATCGTCAAATCCACTGACGACTGTCCTTGATGCCGGCTGTGATTTTCAGCCAATATATAGTATTACTGACCCCCCTACGTCAACTTTGTTACACTTCCATCAACAAAAGCCCATTCATAGGAAAGACACAGGTACGGTTGCCTACTCGCACTCAAGCGTCAATCAAAGAACAACTTGGCAATTCTACGCTTCCTGTCGACAAACGACGTTCGACCGTCAAAAAACTAACGTTATTGAGCTTATTTTGTTGAAAGACCTGATTTGTCTTCAAGAGATGTGATTTAATGATGATATTAAGCCGGAACTAATTACTCCTCCGTTCTTCCGCTGCTTTCCAACTCATAGAAAATCTTCATTGAGGAGTAGAGGCGGAGATGCCATTTTTGTTAACCAAAACTGGTGCCGAGACTGTTAGTTCTTACTTTCTTACTCTTATGATCTGATAGACGTTATCACTGTTATATACAAGCCCCGTTTGTCGAATATTGTTCAAGGCGCCATATTTGTTAGCATTTACATTCTCTGCTCTACCTGCAAAGGCCTAGTAGACCGTTATTTTGATTTTCTTCCACAAAACTTGCTATATTTCCCTGCGAGTCTCTTATTATCTTATGTGGTGATTTTAACCGTGTGAACCTATGTCCACCCAAGCGTTTAGGCTTTAATTACCTTGTCTCCTTTAGTACTCGTGCTGACATCGCTCCTGATCCCCTTTTGACCAATAACACCAAGCTTTTTGTGTTAAAAACATAGCTTTGTTGTCAGATTAAGATCATTGTACGCTATTGGGTCTTCCAAAAAGCTATTCCATCTCCAAACATGCGCTCTTAACCAAACCTGAGAGGAAGGATAAGATTCGCAACAAGTGCCCACAAAACATTCGCTTGCTTTGGGATTGTCTTTCTTACATTATTCCCTCTTTTCTTAAACAACTGAATGTCGAATTTTCCTCTAGCGGCTGTACAAAGTTTTTAAATGAAGTTTTTGATATTTACAGTCCTCTTCACACTTTCTGTTAAGACCGGATGAAATTTCTTCTCTCTATGTTAAATTTCTAAAACGCAAAGAGAAACTTCTCTATAAGCTTGGCCTAGGTGACAGTCTTAAGGACCTTGCCACCCTAATAAAAAGGGAGATTGCCAGACTCAATGACCCGTCTATTAGTCAGCTTTTCACATCCTTTTCCTATCTTATTTCTTCGCCTAGTTCTATTGAGATTTGGAGAAATCTTAGGTGTCTCACTGGTCATCTTAGCACACTGGCACATACGGATACTGATTTAGATTTTTTAAACAAAAATTTTATTCTAACTCACAATGAATCCTATCTTCCCTCAAGCACTATTTCCCTACCACAATGTGTCTTCTTACCTGTGTCTGTGGTAACAGTAGAGAAACACCTGAAATAAGGTCCGTGGATCAACAGCTGTCGGGTCGGACAGTGCTTCACCTTTTCTCATGAAGTTGTGCTGTCCTCAGGTGGCCCTGTTTTGATGTACCTTTTTGACATGTTTTTCATGAAATCCAAGATTCCTGGCACCTGGCGCACAGTAAGGATCACTCCTATTCCTAAAAATTCACAAACTTAGGTCCTAAATCTTTGCGTCCAATTGCCTGCTCTTTCGCACTACTGAAGCTTGATGAACTAATTGCCTTAGATATTATAAAGTCATTTCCTTCCAGTTTTTCCATCCTCTACAACTTGCATATAGGACCTAGCGTAGTACCCTAGGTGCTGTTGCTGTTGTTGTCCACTCCGCCCTAAGAAAACGAGATAAGAATTGCCATGCGTAGACATATAATTTTTTTAAATACTCCTCCGCGTTCCTTACTGTCCCGCGCCATTTCCTCCCTACTAAAACATCCACGTGGGGCTCCCCAGGCCGGTTTGTCCCTTGGCTCGATGATTACTTTACCTCCCATACCCAGGTTGTCCAATCAGGTAAGCGGAAATCTGAGGTCCTTCCCACTGATTGTGGAGCCCTCCAAGACTCCAGTTTCTTTCCTTAGCTCTTCTTCCTGTACACCGATGACCTAAGATTCTCAAACGACTATCTGTTAGTTAAATATACGAATGATTTGGTTGTTCCACAACCATATCAAAAATCAGACTGGTCCATCGTCTCCGGAGAATGGCCTTGACCGTGTCTCTGTATGGTCGCAGGACAATAGTCTCCTAGTGAATAACCAGGAATCCGTCCAGTGTATTTTTCGCCTTCGACCCTCTCCTAGTCCTTAATTCCTTTACATCCTTCCCAACGAGGTATCCTCGTTCAGGTACTGTGGTGTTACTCTGTCATTAAATCTTTCATTTTCCTTCCATATTGCGACCCTTTTCATTAAAGTGCGGAAGCTCCCTTATTACATTCATCGTTTACGTTTCTACTACACACCTCAACCCTTTATCTGGCGATTAATAGGTGCCTACATTCTTCCGCTCATTTTCTATTGTTCTCCTGTTCTTTTTCTGCCTTAAATGAAAAAGATACACTAATTTTGAAACGGGTCCTCTGAATGCTTTCGTCCCCGAGCATTACCTTCTGCTACCGGTGTTTCCTATGTCTTTTTAATCAATACTACCATACAACGACATTTCCAAACGGTCAAGGAATTTGCTAATCGAATTCTGGATGACATTGCCCACCCCCTCGTCTTAAAGTAGTTTCTGCGAAGCCCTCCCGGGTCATGCACCATGGTTTTCGACATATCTCTTTCTGTACATAGGCATATCAGCATTCTGTCATACCATTCCTGGCACGTTATCGCACGTGTTAAGAGACTGAAATAGAGAAACTAAGACTCAATTCGTTCCCTTAGTAGTTGTTCCTTTCTGTATAATCTTTTTGGCTGTTGAGTAATTTGTTATCCTAAATTATGTCCACAGTGAATGGATATCCACTTTTTGCTGAAAATTTTGAATCCATTCTTTTAAAATAAAGCGAGTTCCCTCCTTCTCCAATGAAGGCACAGTAGTGAAAACCTTAAAGCTAGTCAGGGAGAGGAAGCGAATCACGTTTCGAAGGTGGACTTTAGACAAAGTAGTTCTGGTGCCTAACGAGGCAGCCGAAGCCAATACAAAAAATGAGTCGCACTTAGTACGGTAATTTAGCTTTACAAATAGTCGAGCGTTAAAAATGTAAAAACCAGGACGAACCTCAAGAGACCTGCTAGAAAATACTATAAATACTCACCGTTATTTCTGGATGGGGACGCTGTCACCCCATTTCATCACATGGCAAACTCAGACGGGAATTGCCTTAAACAGTCCGGTTATAGAAGAAGACACGATAACTCTGCGAGCCATACATTTTATTGGGGCAATGACTGTGAAAGTTCTCAGGCCGAAGCCCGTACGTCATACGAAAATGCAGGTCATGTATCTCAACTTCGGACGAAAATCAGTCAAATGTCGATGTGTCACCATCCATTAGAGACGCCGCATTAGCGAAACATTATCCTAACACAGGTGGGACAAGAAAGAGCTCGCCCATAAATCGTAAGTAAAATATCGTAATAAGGGGTGTCCCAGAGTCCGCTTCCTGCATTCCGTAAGAACGAGTGACGCAAGACCTAGATCGTCTTCATGAACGCGTAAGTGTCGCCCTAAAGTATTGGGAGATTTTCACTGTAAAAGAGCCTTCCGAGTAGGGAAAACATACCCAGGTCGTGACCCGAAACAATCCGAAGACCCCTAAAAGTTATTTCTGAAAACGAAGCCCAGGCAGCACTTCTCTTAAAGGAAAGACTAGCCTTGCGAAACTCGTTAAAACAAGTTTTTTTTCAGCCGGCCTGTGAACCGAGGGAAAGACTGAAAATGAGAGAACTGCGAATATAACTGAGAGAGAGATTATTTGCAAAGGGGAGAAAAGGCTGAAAATCAAAAATGGCCAAATAACCCAGACCAAAAAGCCCTTCCTGTGGTCAAAAGCTGCCACACTTATGGCCGCGTCTCTCTGGCGAAACGATTCTTGGAGGTCATCTCCGCGAATATACGAAGTCTGTTCAATAATCTTTATAAATTAAGGTAATTAGCTGATGAAATTAAGCCAGACACTATTGTTTTCACAGGAAAATTGGTTTATGCGGATACTGCAGATTCAGAAATATCACTTAGAGGATATTAACAATTCAGACCAAGTCCATGAGGAGGGGTCATAATTTACATCACTTGCAAGCCGACCGCTACGACCGAGGTACATACTCCCGTACGGGATCTTGAGCATCACCATATCTGCTAAGAGTTCTCAACCACTAACGCTTTCGATGGACTACCGTCGGCCTACCCAGACTTCTGGTCTTGATCACAGTCTCATAACTGAACTGTAAAAAACCCGTGCGAAGAAAGATATCCTTATCATTGGGGGTTTTAGCGTCCCGGGCTTTAATTGACAAATATGGACTGCCCCAGGTGCTGCCAGACAACTTTAGTCATTAGCTCCTACAATGGGCGGTGGGTAAACTTCTCTATCTGCGTCACCTTTGGAACGCGGATTATTGGGGGACAACAGTCGAACTGCCTTGACTTAATCTTTACCCAAGAGGAGGAAATTATGCTAGGCCTGCAGGACCAACTGTCATTAGGGTCAAGTAACCGACTCACAGTATCCTTTGAGTACTCACTGTTTTTCAAACCGATTGTGCCTGACAGGTGTAAGAGAGACGCTTATAGGGGACTTTCCACTCGTAAGAAGAAAAGTATCAGAGGTATAATGGGAAACGGGTCTGCATAACGAAGCAAATGACCACTGGAGGACTTTCAGCTCCTTGCCGAAAAAGACTGCTTACGTCAACTGTCCTCTCAGAAGAAAGACAATTACAAACTCTCCAAAGTAGATAAAATCGAACTTGGAGGCCTCTTTCAAAAAAATCGCTTTTGGAGGCGTTACAGAATAACCAGCTCCGAAAAGCACTTACGGGATTATACGCAATAACACCATTTTTGAAAAAGTGGGGCTACCAAGTTGCGAAGGAAGTCTGGACTGAGCATACTTCAAAATTCGTTGGAACACTCGAAAATTCTATATAGTTGTATAGGGGTACTAAAAAACTCAGTAACTGATCCATGTACTTAGTTCAGCAGACGGAAAACTGGAGACCGACGACCGGGTTAAAGTATGCATCCTGCCTAATTTCTTTTGGTTCGTCTTCACCCCAGGACGTAATTCTTCTTTGTCCCTTCACCCATTCACCAAACAACATTTTCTTTTCCATCCCACTCCCTTTTTGTCCTCTTTTTCTCTCCCTACCTTCCCCAATCAAGGAATTACACTTTTCATCCGTCATATTTGGGACCGAATCACTCCGATTGCGGCCTGCCTAATCGCCTAGTCCGGATAGAATTTCTACATTAGTACTTTGAGAACTTGCTACTGAACTGTGCGAACCACTGCCTACAATGTCCAAAGGTCACCTGAAGAGGGCGAACATCCTGATGAACTAAATTGTGTATTAATCACCTCGATCCATAAAGGAGGTTCACTAGCTGACTCTGAAGATTATCGCCCTATCAATCAGAATTGCATCGCGTGTAGAATAATGGGGTGCATTATAAAAAGACACTTGATGGAATACCTAGGAAAAAACAGAATAACAATAATTGTATTTAATGCCATTTTGCAGGCATTGCCGAAGAAAAATAATGCACGAATCGGGCTAACTGCGAAAAACTTCCGACATGGCTTCCGTTCACGACGTTCTTGCCACATGAGTATTTTTTACTCGCCCGACAAATGGATAAGGACCTCAGATAAGGGTTATCCAGTAGATGCACTATCTATAACAGAAAATTTGGAATGTAGGGATTCGAGGTGGAATTTTTAAGGGGATAAGAAGTTTGCTGTCCTCCAGGGTAGCGAGTCGTTGTTGGTAAGTCTACGTCGGAATGGGCGAAAGTGAAAATTGGTATCCAACAGGGTTCTGTTTTAGGCCCACCGCTCTTCCTAATTTATGCAGATGATTGCACCAGCGAACTGGGTTGCGAGGCTCTCATGTGTGTAGATGACATAAAATATGGAGTGAAGTCAAATACGTTGATGGCGCAAAGTAGTTGCAATCGAACATCGACAAACCGAGTGTTTGGTCAAACAGATGGCTTTTAAAGTCTAATGTGTCTAAATGCGTGGTCCTACACTTAAACGCTGGCCGACATGCCTCTCCCGAGCATCAGTATTTTAGATGAGAGACCGTAGTAAAATATGTAGGACACAGAGACCTGGATGTATGGACGACCACAAACCTAATGCCATCAGAGCACTGTAAGAAGATGCATCAGAAGGCAACTTGTACCTTCCACTGGATCAGACGTGCATTTAAAATATTTCCTCCAGAACTATTCGAAGGACTCTTAGGCGTCTTTATAAGACCTCACCTGGAATATGGAATGCCAACAGCTACACCATGGATGACGAAAGACATTGGCCACCTCGAACTGTTGCAGCGCAGAGTAACAAAAATGGTCGACAGTGTAAAGCCCTTGTCGTACCAGGAGAGGTTCAGTTCAGTTCAGTTCAGTTTATTGAGGGAAATGTAGGTCTTCACCTTTGAACTCCCTATTTGTTTACAAGCAACTGCAAAATCTCAAAAACTCGAAAAGGTATCATAAAGTAACAAATAATCGGAAAAGCGTCAGGTCTGTACAGACAAACATATTGTCTCGAATTTTAGTGGTACGAGCAGTTGAATGTGCTTGGTTTATTCCCTCTATCCTATAGGCAACTAAACGGAAGTTCATTGTGGACATTTAAGATTGCCCGTGGCCAAGATTTCTCACTGTCACCGGAGGACTTCTTTGAGTTAGCCGGTACAAACCAATTACGCGGCCATTCCTACAAAGTCAGAAACGGATGGCGCGGCTCGATCGTAGGAAGTTTTACTTCAGTCAACGGGTTCTTCGATCATGGAACTCGCTACCAAGTTAGATGTCGATGGCCGGCACGATTCACATGTTAAAAAGAAAACTTTCTCGCGTAACTTTCAACAAAGACCGACTTTTACAACATGGTTGTTCACAGCCAGCTTCATAAAACAATTTTGTCACATACAATCTTTCCGCATTGACTCATAATCAAAAGAAAAGATTCCTTATTATTAATTTTTCACCATGAACAGTGCACATTGTAAATAACTGTGACTACATTTTGAGCATGAATATACTAAATTATTATTCAGTAATAGGGTCATCAAGGGCTTTGGCTGTAACACTTCAAATACATATATTTAACGGTCTTTGCCGACAATGTCCAGCGTGTGCTGCACAACAGGGTGAATCAAGCACGATGACTTGCGCGTGGTTTAGTTTATAGTAAATGTAGACTTGCATTATATCTATAGCACTCTCCCCTCCTCCCCCACCTGGACCTGGTGTCAAGAACAAGTCAAGAAGACCGGAGGGGGGAGGGCGCAGATGGATGGCATGGTCGAGCCCGCACCTCGGCGTTCCACTTCACACCCTCTTGTCCACAACACACTTGACCAGAATTTTACCCAACAGCAAAAGTGTGGCTGGCACGACCGGAGCCGCAACTGGTCGTGCCGTAACATCTGGCTTGGATCCCATAGAGTGGGAGTGCCATAAAGGCTACACTAAGGAGGAGTCATTTTAGTCTAGCTCTTAGACTACCATTAGCCGCTCCACACAAACACAACACTGGACCGACTGCGAGGTCCAAGTAATCCGGTCGGTAGGCAACGTTCAAGGCCACGGCTTTTAGCTCACCATGAGGACCTCAAGCGCGTCAGATTGTTTACAGTGGGGGAAAAAAATGCGCTGAGTCTTCGACCTCACGCACACTTCCCATCCCCAGGCTACAGTCACTGTCTGAGCCGGTCAGTTGGCATGTGCTGGGAATGGGCGTAGTAGCTGACATAGTCTAGTGACCTTGTCTGCGCGCGCCACATGCACGACCTGGCCCCCTAGAACACATCACCAGGATTTCACACAACGACGGTTTGGCGGCGTGCATCTCACATCCGTGAGAGCGCCGTAGGTCACGTTAAGAAGGAGCAGCTTCAGCCTGGCTGTCAGTCCATCAGTCCGCCACTCCACTTTACACGCACACAACTGGACAGACTGAGTAGGAAGAGTTGGGGCGTCAGTCAGCAGCCTTCCAAGCCACAGCTCGAATCACACAATATCCGTCGAAGACAGCTGAGGTGGAAGTGACTGAGCATCCGCGCCTGCTTCTTGTAAACCATTCAGGTCTTCGTTCCGTACAGCAGCGTCGGTATGATGACTGTCTTGCCCATCTTCAGCTTGTTGTTGAGGTGGAGACCGTGACGAATCCAGACGGTGTTCTGCAGTCGGCCAAAGGCTTGAATGACCTTGGAAATCCGGCGGGCCACTTCATCGTCGACTTTATTGTTGCAGGAGAGTGTGCTGCCCAGATATCTGAAGTTGTCCACCATTTGCAGCTGGGCGCCGTTCACGCGGATATGAGGTGCCACGTTGGCAACGTTAGGTGGTGGTTGATGCATAACCATCGTCTTCTCCGTGTTGATGATCAGGCGGAAGTCCTCGCAGGCGGCGGCGAAGAGATCCATGATCCTTTGCATGTCCCCTTTTGACGTGGTGTTGAGGTCACAGTCGTCGGCAAAGGGAAGTTCATGAACGGAAGTTGCGGATACACGCGACTAGAAGTGCATCCGTCGGTGGTTGAGGAACTTTGTCGTCCGTCCTGTAAGCGATGCGGACCCCAGGCCGTTCGTCGCGGTAGGCATCCATCATCATGACAGAGAACATGAGACTGAAGAAGGTAGGCACGAGGACGCAGTCCTGCTTCACTCCGTCGGTCACCACGAATGCTTCTGATGCAGCTCTATTTTTCGTGGCGCTTGCCGTCATGCAGTCGTGGAGCGGACGCATTGTCTGATCGAATCTTTCGGGACAGCCGAACGCAATTGGGCGTATTGAAGGCTTTCATCAGATCCACAAAGGTGGAGCACAGGTGAGTCCGCATCTCGTGCCACTTCTCCTACAGTTGGCGGGCGGCGAGGATCATGTCCGTAGTCCCATGATGACGGTGGAAGCCACGCTGGCCTTCCGGCAGGAGGCCCTGTTCCAGATGGTTGTTCAGGCGCCTGAGAGGCATGCGAGCGAAAATGTTTCAAGTAGTGTTCGGCCGGGAAATGCCTCGGTGATTGTCGCAGATGTGGCAGTTCCCTTTCCGCCTGTAGATGTGGAAGATTGTAACGGTCTTGAAATCCTGCGGGACTTCTCCTTGCCAGATGACGACACGATGATCGATCCACCCTTCGGCACCCGGGGTCGTCTTGGTCACAAGCAGGTGCCGCTAGTCTCGCCTCCGGACGAGGACATAGTCCACAAGGTGCCACTGACGCGACCGAGGGTGCCTCCGGGTGGCCTTTAGCGCGCATCGGTACGGTGAAGTAGATGTTCGTCAGGATGAACCGGTGTTCTGCGCAGGTGCGGAGAAGCAGGCCATTGTCATTGAGGCCATCGAGACTATGGGAACCCAGCACTCCTCTCCAGGCAGCATGGTCTGTGTGACGCGGACGTTGAAGTCGCCAAGGACAACCAACTGATCCGCCTTCGACGCAGTCGCCAGGAGGGCGTGCAGGTTCTCGTAGAATTTGTTCCTTGCGGCGTAAGGGCTGGTCATCGACGGAGCGTAGACACTGACGGTGGTGGCAAATTCGCCTCCCTGAAGAGGCAGGCGGAGCTTCATCAGGAGATCATTGGTGCCCTGTGGTAGACAGGGCAGTCGTCCCGTGGTGTCCTTCCGGAGAGCAAAGGGGACGCCAGCGGTTCGTCACTCTGCCTTGGGGCGACGGCTCCAGAAGAAGGTGTGGCCGTCACCCACTCCCTCCAGTTGGCCTTGTTCGGAGAACCGTGTCTCGCTGAGCGCCGCGATGTCCACCTTGTAGAGCGCCAGTTCCCGAGCCACTAGCGTCGACTTCCGTTCCGGTCGGTTGCTCCTCGGGTTGTCTAAAATGGAGCGAACATTCCAGGCTGCTAGAGTGGGCGGACTCACTCTACCAGTCTGGTGAGTGTGGCGGCGGGGGTTGGAGGAGGAAGAGAGAGAGCGTGTTCTTTCGATTTTGATTGCCTCGATCATGTGTTTTGCGTCTGCGGCCGCGGTCAGCGTGCAGACGGCTTGAATCCAAACATTTGTTCAGGGCACCTTTTCTAGCTCCTTTGCCCTTGTGGGGGTGAGCAGTTATCTCCTTGAATAGGGCTGCTCAGTCATCCCAGACGGCTGTCGGAGTCCACTATGGGCCAAGATTTTGTTTAGTGGGAGAACGACCCGAGTAATCCTGGACCGCTTACGAATTCACTGTCGCTCACGCCGTAGGACTTGAAGGGAGGAAGGGAGGGGGGATGGGGGAAGTGTAGAGAGACGGGGCGTAGAACTTTCCCGTAATTCTCTAGGTTAGCTGGTTGCTGATATCTGAACGATGAGCAAGCAGATTCAACAGAACGACAGTTAGCTTACGGCAAAGACGGACACGAACAAGCAGACAAAGAGCAAGCAAGCAAGAACAACAAAAGCATAGACAACAGAGGAAATTCAACTGAACGACATTTAGCTAACAACAAGGATAAACGTCAACAAGCAGACAAAAAGCAAAAGAAGCACACCAGTATTAGCTTACCTGAGGATCACTTACCTTGTGGCCTCCTTCAGCGTTGCAGACAGAGCCTCATCTCGGAGGTGCCGAGGCGGTTATCCATCCAGCCAACAATGGTGAGAGCGGAGCCGAGTTACCGTGTGAGGCAGTGCACACACGGATACCCTCAACTGATTTAGCTCGCCGGTTGAAGCCGTCGCCGGGATGTGGCCGCTATGCAGAGCCTAGCTTCGGGGAGCCACATGTGAGAGTTGGGTGCCGGCCATTGGACGCTAAGTGTAATCTACATCCGAAAGCGAGTGAGCGACCTACTACGACCGTCACGTGAACCCACGACTGGTCACCTCTACACTCCACATACATACACGAGGAATCATTTTAAAATCCCGTGGTTTTGTTAGTGAGAAATCGGGATGGGGCCAGTAGAAATAGAATCTCTATGTCATAAGATTTTTCAGAATCTCCACCGCGAAAACCACCGCGACGATAAAAGAAAAGTACTGAGTTCCGACAACTATGATAGTGAGACCTGTATGGCTGGTGACTCAATAATAATAATGATAATAAAAACAGTATTATTTGAGCCTCATGATTGTACTCTCAGAACGAAAGGAGGCGACAGTACAGTGTGCAACCACAGTGAGGGCGCGGTAGCTGAGGTCACCTGTTTACGGGTGGGGCAGATGCGAACGAGCCCGACATGGCCAACGTGATACTAAAAAATAATGTGTAACAGGCGTAAAAAAGGTTTTAGATTAAGTCGACGTAGAAGGCGTTAGAAAGCGTGCGTTATATGAAAAATAGGAGGAAGTTTTGGCAGGTAGGAGTGGAAGTCACTGAGCGGTAGGGATTGGCTGGTGAAGGAGAGGGAACTTGCCCTAGGCGAACTGTTCAGTCAGAACGCCTGGAAGACTCTAAGGGTCGTAAGGCAACTTGGGCATTAAATGTGGCGCGATGGAAGGCAGCCAAAGGCAAGTCGTGTTTCCACCACAAGACGGCAAGTAATTAATCACACAGGACGGAAAAGTTAGTTCTTGTTTTAAAATATACTGGAAAGCAAACAAATAAAAGTAATTTTGAATTATTCAACGTCATAAGCATCGGAATGAAAAAAACCTACAGAAGTACCGACAAGAAGGCTATGTAACAGCCATGGCCCAATCAGTAACCAGATCCCAAAAGAAATCTCCAGAGAAGCCTAAATGAGCTACAGTACTAGATAGATTACCTACTGAAAGGGCTAGTTAGAAAAACGCCTGACTTACTCGATATATTGACGAGGTGAAAGGTCAGCAGTATTTACATGTCAGGGCTTTCGATTAGTATCTAGAGCAACATGGCTAGATTAGTACTAATTAAGCAACCTGGTGAGAACTGTCTCCTAAATATGGAAACATCCATGGGCAGAATTTTTGTGAGAAGGACACAATGAATCGATTTCTGATATTTTTTCAAACGGAAGCTCTGTTCACTAGGCTTTGGATCTTTACCTGTGATTTATGCTACGAAAACTCACAAACGACGAATGACTGCCGCGCTCGCTGATAGGTGCAGTGTGGGCTAATTTTTGCGGGCTTCTAAGTGCGCACGATGAGTTTTTGTTAAACTCTAGTATGAAATAATGCAAAATTCGTCCTTATTTGTCTAACGACAGCACTGATCCACACTTTAAAGCTTGCATCAAAAAAACTGACCGCGGAATAATATAAACCAATGACAAGATTGAATTCAAATTAAATCGCCAAGTCTCAGCATAGGGCAGTGGACTCGTCATCGCATTAAGGATGCGTGTGGATTAAAGGTAAGCAAGCTGAAGGTCAGCAGTTAGTCATCGTTCACTACGTCGAGTGAGACGAATACTGCGCCAATTTTATGGACAGGATGGACCATACAGTGGAAAAAATATTGAAAATGTCCTTGGATATCTCAAACTTCTCAAGGAAACGTAAACTGGACAGAGAGCGCGTGAGTGGTTGCATCTGCAAGGTAGGGTTGTATCTAACTCCTGCAACATTTCCCCACCCTGCGATCCCTTTGGCAGCTTGTACACAAAGAAATATTTCGAAAATCGTTTAGAATAAATAAGGTATTCAACGGTGGAAGTAGTGCACAAGTAACTCCCTTGAACCGCGCAAAGACTCTATCAAACCTCCCTAACGCCGACCTTCTAGATTTCCTAGTTCCAGGGATAGGCACCCCATTTTTTAACCGATTACCGTTAGTCAAATTCTAAACATAATCTCAAAGAATAAGTGTTTTTTTCCTGTGAACCGCTTGCCTAAACGTGGGTTGAACTAGCCTGCGTCCCATTATAATCTGCTTAATACAACTAGTTTCCTTCAAAAGCCAGTGGGCAGCGTCATTCATGCTTTACTTCTGCGCATCGCTAGAACAACAGGATCCCTCCACTCACGATCATCGTGGATTTACCAAGTGCAGATAATGTCTTACAAAGTTTCTGTTCTGCGACGGATTGGAAGCCGTTTACTCCGGTCCTAGTAATAACTTTAACACGACAAAACACTGAGTTCCATGAAACCTCGCGTATGACTCACTAGATGAGTCAGATTCTTCCACTTGGCCGAATGTTAGGAATGCATGCCTAAATTGTCACACTTATTTAAGGTCCGTTTTGAAGATTTCTTCCATGCCTGCTTTATCTAAACGATTCGCTGGATTTCGGCAGAAGCAACTATCAATTTCTGTTGTTACTGTTAGGATCATAGACCAGAAAGTCGAGCATGCACCGACTAATCAGAGTTAATCGCTGGTTTCCTAAGGGAAATCGTATTTTAAATGTCATTTGTGCATGGCGAATTCTTAATAACTGATCGCATGAAATGTTAGTCGAAATTCTGAGATGCTTTTTCGATTACGAAGGATTACTTAAGTAAGCCTGTAATATTGATTATCGTGCAGTTTAGGTCCCAGATATTTCAGGCACTTTAGTGCTGCGTAGTGGGACATCTAAAACTGCCTAATTAAATAGGAATTTTAAAAAGGTGGAGAATTTTCGAAATAATAATGAACGGCTGACTCACTGCATCTAGGCGTAATACGACCAGCAGGGCAAAGTTAATGCAAACAAAATGGGGTATTGAAATGAAGATAGTAGCGTGTTGATGGTTGTGATTACCTATGAATGTGGGGTTTGGAGCATTCTGGTTGACCTTGAACAGGTGCGTATCCAGACTTTTCTTAAACACACTCACGAAGAGGGTAATAAATGACGACCATAAGCAAGGAATTTCACCGACTAATTACCCTTTGAAAGAAAAAGAAGGAGCTTTGATTACTGCGGCACAGTTGGCAATCGTGCCGTCTGAGATTTGTCTTCAGTGGAATCACGATAGGATTTTCCCGGCTCACATAAAAATCAATTAGCCCTGACAACTGAAACGTCGTTAAATGTCACCTCCCTCCTCTCTATAGTGGAGGAAGTTGAGGTTTAAGGCGATCAGGTGCTGACCGTACATGAAAGTTTTGAACTCAGGAACAATCTTTGTGGCGTGTCGTACATTTTCAAGGATACCTATGTCTTGAAGAAGAAGACACGATCGCCGGGACAAGAGCTTTATTAGCCTGACGTTTCGGATTCCTGCTCGAATCCATCATCAGAGACATAAGCAGCTAAGGGTGGTTCATGTACATGCGGCTGCAGTATTTATAGGATGCAGTAGCCATGCCACTGCATACCTATGAATGTTCACGGCTCCCTCCCCTTCATCAGGGATCGTTGCACGTGGCGTGATGGTCGATATTCGCGTCGTTAATTGCTGCAATTTCATCACGTGCGTTGGATGTTGGTGTGATGATTGCTCGACCATCTGACGCGCTGACCCGGGTGTTGGGAAGAGTGTTCATCAGGGCGCTCCCCGCGTGGCCAATTTCTCCGCCTAGACGAAGTCTCAGCACGCTGTATTGAATGGGAAGATCATTGCACTTGTTAATAGACTGGGGGCCAGTGAACCATGACTCAAGCAGCTCCCGGCTCACGCGGTTGTCACCTCTTGCGAGAATTTCGGCCTCGTCAAATTTGAATGTGTGGCCGGAACCCGTCGAATGAGCCGCAACTTGAGAGCTGGCGTCATTTCTCCGCACTGCTGCAGCGTGTTCGGCCATTCGCGTTCGGAGCTGTCTTCCGGTTTCTCCGACGTAGTTGCTTTGTCCGCAACTGCACCAGATCCGATAAACGACTCCAGACGTTTCTTGCCGTGGCAGTGGGTCTTTTGGTTTCATCAGTTGACGCAGCCACATGTGCATGAACCACCCTTAGCTGCTTATGTCTCTGATGATGGATTCGAGCAGGAATCCGAAACGTCAGGCTAATAAAGCTCTTGTCCCGGCGATCGTGTCTTCTTCTTCAAGACTGCTTCCTGGGACTCGTCTTTTCGCTTCTATACCTATGTCTTTCCGAAGCCAAGGCCTTTAAGTTTGAGGCCTGGAATGTTCTGCCTGCAGATTTCGTCATGCCCACCTCCGTCGA